GCAGGGTGAGTCAGCAAGCTGGAGACCTCGGAGATCCAATGGTGTAATTTCAGTCCAAAGACTGGCAGGCTTTGGAGACTCAGGAAGAGCAGATGTTTCAGTTCAAAGGCAGTCAGGCAGGAAGAATTTTTCCTCTGGGGAGGGTCAGCTTTTTTGTTCTATTCAAGCCTTCAGCTGGTTGGATGAGGCCCACTCACATTAGGGAGGACAATCTGCTTTAGTTTATCGAATTAAATGTTGATCTCATCCAAAAACACCCTCATGGAAACAATTAGATAACATTTGACCCAGTATCTGGGCAGTCTGTGGTCTGGTCAAGTTGACATATAAAACTAACCATCACAGAGGCCCACAGAAAATTATTTCTTCAAGTGGCAGAGCAGGGATTTAAATATGTCTGATTTAGAGGGCTGTAATTGTTGCACCAGTGCAAAGAGGTGCTACCTCCAAAGAGGTAATAAATACAATTAGAAAGCCTTCCAGGTTGACAAACTCCAAAACTTTTGGTCTTTTTCATAGCAGCTTTGTCAAAAAAGCATATTCCCAAAGCAATGTCCACAGATTTTAAGTATTCCAAGTACCGTAATTTTTCCCCAATTATAATGCATTATGTGCATACTGTCCTAAAACAAGCTGATTTGGGTAATAGTATTTGTTGGTTTTTATACTAGAAGTTTAGGCACAGAAGTATTGATTAGACTAAATTATAGCCAATCTTGTCAGGGTAAGATATCTACTTAGTAAATTTTCCTAATAAGCATGTTCAAATGTTTATAATACTGGATATAAAGGAGCAAATTTGAAAAAAAGAAAGATAACCAGGACTTGGGGGTAGAATAAGACAGAAATATTGACTTTTGGGGGATTACCATTGTATCCTTTAAAAATTACATTCAAATCTCTTACTAATGAAAACAAGTTTTTATTGAGTACCTGCTATGTGCTTGTAATTGTTTTGGGCACTGGGTATATTGTAATGATAAAATCTGAGATTTTTCTTTCTCAGGGGTTCAAAAAAAAGTGAGTATGTAGCATGACCAAGGACTTTGGGAAACAAGATGCCAAAAGCATAAAGGTTTAACAAAGCCATAAACTGCAAACTGCTACAAGTGACCAGACTTTTGGGGGTACAAAGGTACTAGAGGAACAGGGACTTAACTCAAGTTCATATGCTGGATGGCAATGTTAAATTAAATGTAATTTATGGTTTAATATTTTTACTTCAGAGTCTACACTAGGTGGCATCCAGGGTCAGAATAGAAGCAGTAACCAGCAATGGAAAGCCAATGTATTTAAGCTTCTGTGCTAGAAGCAGCTTCCCAGTGGATCCTAAAAGAAATAGTATTAAAAGTGAATTGGTTGCTTTAAGTGATGATCAAAATGCTCTCCACTGGAAGGGACGTAGAGGTGAAGAGATCAGGAAAAGGTTCATGTGATGGCTATAGGGCAGACTACAAGTTGGAAAGATGAAGGCTGAGGAATTTTTAAAGAATAAAATAATGGTATTAAAGTGAATACACAGCCTTCTTGTCTAGAATGAAGGAAGCCTGTATCAAGAAAGTTTAGGATAAAGAAAAAGGATTTCTGTGCAGATGGAGTACATAAACGGAACTCTACCTTTTCATGCTTGGGAGATTTTGAAATATAACAGATTTTTTGTAATGGATGATAGGGCTGTAAGAGACATAATCTCTCATGTCTATCTTGAATATGGAGTTAGATCAGCCACTCATTGCCTAACCCAATAATGAAAATGTTAGTAGGCAGTATTATCAGCAGAAGAAATAATTTATCCCACAGTCATAAGCATGTAGGCAGGTGGGCAATATCCACAATTATTTTAAACATAAGGCTGGGAATCTATAAGACTCTGTGTACTTACAAATGAAAACAACTTTTGAACTAGCACTCGGGAGAACCAGGTTTTGTTTTGTTTTGAATTCATGTGACAGAGAGAGAAAGAGAGAGAGAGAGAGAGGGAATATGAGTAGGGGGGAGAGGCAGAGGGAGAGGGAGAGGGAGAAGCAGACTCCTCGCTGAGCCAGGAGCCTGATATGGGGCTTGATCCCAGGACCCTGAGATCATGCCCTGAGCTGAGCTGAAGGCAGCCGCTTAACCATCTGAACCACCCAGGCACCCCAGGAGAACCAGGTCTTAACAGAAATTGACTTCCACTGATCTGAAAGAGAAAGGCTGAAAGAACTAAAAAGAAAGAGTCTATTCTCACAGATAATAGGTGCGACTGAAAGAGACGAACATCTAGTTTATACAATGTCTAGCTGACATTCTCAGCTTGGCATTCTACTGTTCATGTTTGAGGTTGTACTGCTTGTTATTCAGATTTTGGGGGTAATACCATATCGATACCCCTAATCTATAATCCTAACTATATTCACCAATTTGATAAAATCTTATTCCCATTCTTTCCCCTTTGTCCTAATTCCTGGCAACTTTAGTTAACTTATGCAATTCTTTTGTTTATGAAATACTTAAGTCCACAAAAATATAGACTTTTCTCAGGAAAGGCATATACCTAATTAACCTTTCTAAACCTGTGTGTTGTGTATTTTATTTAATGCTTTAAATAAAGGATTAGGTTGGATAGCCATTACTCTTAGTTTGGATCCATTCCATGACAGTACATTTGAATGGAAATAAAAATGATTTCTTATACATTAATAACTTTGCATGAAACCTCAATACATGGTAATATGTGAAAAATTTCATATGTACAAACTAAGTATCAAAATGAATAAAACTGTATTGTTTTAATATCTTAATAAAATAGTAAGTCCCAGAACTTTACATAGGACCTTGGCTTAGTGGTTCCCAGGCTTTTAGATTTCATGGAGTAGTTAAAAAAAAAAAAAAAAAGTGGGGACCAGTACAGAACTGTCAACTTTTTATTTTGCCAAGTAAGGATACTTAAAGCAACTGATAATACTATCAACATTTCATAAAAGGATACTTCAATACCACAAAAGTTGGAATAATCTTATAATAAAAATTAAATTCAAGCTGATTACCTATCAGTCTTTTACTTTTTTCCCTTTTGGGATGCTGAAAATTTAGGGTTGGCCTAGAATTTGCAAATAAATTGCCTAAAATGCCATTTTCTCCAACCATTTTAAATAGAGGCTGAGAGGTGAGTGGCTTTGCCTGAAATCAACTTGTGTTAAACTCAGAAAGAAAGCATAGCTCCTGACAACTAGTAGATAATACACACTCACAGAAACACAATCACTAAATATGTTGCTAATTAGGAACCTTAATCAATGTTTATCTTAAAACCTTACCAAACCCAAATCCTTCATAACTAATGAAAAATCAAATAAATCCACTTACTTTGTTGTATACACAACTGTACCTATTATAATTTAAGGAAAACAACCCCAAATCATAAATTATCATAATTATGTAACCTACATCATAAATGATATAATCTTATCTGTGAGCTTTTAATTCTCCAAAATGTTTCAGTCTCAATTACATGGTCTGTGGAAAATGCTTAATAAATGTCTGTTGTACTAACAGAGGAATGTCACTTTCAATCACTGCAAAACAAGTTTCTTCCTGACATTAGAAACTCTCAACCTAGCACAAAATCCTATTTTGGAAATCACTGGAACATTAATGTATAGAGAAAAAAGATAGTGGTGGTGTGGGGGAACCCAATTTGCCTGATTTCTCAAATGAAAAAGCAATCAGATGCTTCGGGGTGCTTAAATGAGAACAGTATTTGCACACAATGATTTTTGTGTAAAAACATCACATTAATTTAACCACACCCACTTAACTTTTTTAGGTAAGTAACATGAAAGGTTTAATATCCTAAAGGGATTCTAGTTGAAGAGCATGTAACAAAATTTTAACATGACCCTGAGGATATATTTATCTAATTATTTTGGACTAACAAAATGCTACAGTAGATCTGCATTTCAATTAGGCAATCACTTCTAATTCCACCATAAACATACACATAATCTTATTCCTTTGAAAAATAGTTTTGACAATTGGCAGTAATTTCTTCCCCCCTTTCCACTAGCTATAAAAATGCATGACCAATAGTCTAATTTCAAATTCAAAATAAGAATACAGTTTAGTCTGTTAAAAGGATGTCCCTTTATCAGAAACTGGGAGTTCATGGATTCATTTTTCCTTAAAACAATTAACCTTTAAAAGCATGATGCTTCTTTTGCAGACCCACCCACACTTACTTAAAACAGAAGGCAGAGGCACAGAAAGAAATTCACCTTAAGAAACTGATAGGTAGAATCAGGGTTTGTAGTATTTTAGATTTTGTATTGAAGATATGCCTCAAAGACATATCCAAATAAGTCACATAGGCTGCTTAAAACCAGTATTCACAATTTTGGTATAAACTTTCCCTACTGTAATACACAAAATTGTACATTTAAAAAATATCAGTGATCGTACATAATACAGGAATGCTGATATTTGGTTTGATTCCTGTGACTTCCATGGTAATCCTGGATTTTAGCACATAGAAACTTGTTATTCACTACTACTGAGAATTCAAGTATACTAAAAGAAATGAGAATATTTTTGTGACCTATGTCAAATTGTTTGTATTACAATTGTATATATTCTGTCCCGACTTTTCCTTCTAACCCATAAAGCCCAAAGAACTAATCTCTCTTTAAAAATTTAATTATTTTTCTCCCTCAAATAGTTTCTTTAATAGAAATAGCCATGTGCCTGATGATCAAGGGTGGGAAATAAAATCCTCCTGTGCCTTTCATCTAGCTCTGTGACTACTATTCCTGTCATGGATGTACGGCTTTCTGTCCAAGAGGCCTGACATCATGTGCTCCAATTCCTTCAGTGTTCCCGCTTCAAGTGCTTGCCACTTCTTGGAATAGAATTCTGGAACATTACCATTTTAAGACTTTCTTCATGACTACTTTAATATCACTTTGATCCAAATTTCCAGTGTTGGTTCCTTTAATGGGTCAATTACATACCCATGAAAATGAATAAAGAAGCTACCGTGCCCTTTTATTTTAGACCTGGCCCACTTATAATTAAGCAGAATAACATTCCAAGTTCATTTTGATTGAAAACTATGAAAACATAGAAGCTATATTTTCTCAGCGTCATCACCTAGGTCAAGAAGAGAATCAAGGTCATCACAGGTTTTTCCTAAATTAAGAGATTAATACAGCTTGATCACACCCAATTTACTTTCTAGGTTAACTAAGTAATATTAAAAGGTGACAATTTTCTTTGAAACTTATAAGTACAACCTGCATATACAGGATTTTGAGAATAATTTAATGTTAACTTTAACATACAACTATATCTTAATATAATTATTTTAAACGTAAAGAAACGGATCCTTACAAGACCAAAATAACCCATAGGCCATGAAGTTGGTTTTTACTTTTTCCTTTTTTGTTTAAACAAATGTGCACCACGATGGTTCAACAAGTAAGGCAAATGCCGTGAGTATGAAAGCTGCAGTTTCCAATATACCACATCTAGAACCCAGGGGAGGTGAATTAGACAGAAGTCGTAGTCATTCTAATTAAACAATCAGATAACATCATGACAAGTTGGTTTGCAGTATCAAAACTGTCTAAGTTTCCTTTCTCTTAATGATCAGAGGTCCCACGTTGTCTCCAGTCTCTTCATTGTGTTTTGTGTGAGATCCATCACAGAATGGGAACTAGGAAAAGAGAGAATGTCAATGTCTAACTGCAAAATCAGTATTAGCCTGGCAGAGTGGGGGTGATGCTTAATTTACATATATAACACACACGATAACTCTTAATAAAAAGATTTTCTTAGACTACCTTATATAGGTGTTCTTAAAGAGCATATTTGAAGTATAAACAGCAAGTAGAAGGAAGAAATCAACTTGTGGATAATACACAATGATTAACTGCATTTCCATTTGTGATATTTGATTGTGGATGCTGAAATTCTTTTCCATGTTTATATGCTAGTTACAGTTACATTTCCCTTCTAGTGATCTATGTCCATTTAGAGCCTAAGTCCATTTGTTTAAAATCAATTTGTGTATCATCCCTTTGTTGATCAGCTTTGTAGCAATTTTTCCCAAACCTTTTTATTTTGCTAATTTTTTTATATTCGTTTCATACAAGCATGCCAGTATTTCCCTTTTTAACATTCTTCATGGAGACATCTTTCTCCTAGGGATGTGGTAAATATTTATTACTTTCCATGATTTCACATTTTAAATATAACTGACATTTTGGGTTCAGTGGTAGAAGAAGTGACAGAAGTAAATTTCTAACAGTGCTTGTCACTGTGTACTCCAAAGAAGTCCCAAAAGATGTTCTGATTTGGTTTCATTATGTTTTAAAAACATATCACATAATTCTCTTGATTTGTAGCATACATTATTATTTAAAAGAAGTCCTGCTATTAAAAAATGCTATTTTAACTCAAAATTTACCAGGCTGACTGAACTGTGACACTTTTCCAAATTGCTATACCTTTATTCCTAATTTTATAAAGTTCTACCTATAAAAATGCCTATTTACAGGTTTTACATTATCATATTCACCAACCTACTCTGCTGAGATAATAACAAGGTTTAAAATATGCTTCAATATTTGGTAGAGCTAGGTTTCTGTCACATTATTCTTGTTAGACTTTTCCTATTTATTCTCTACCTACCTTTATTAAACTTTACCTATTTATTCTTCCAGATAAATGAGAATTTTTAAATTTCTCTTGAAATCCTCATCTTCAGGTCTCATGCATACTCTGAAAACATTATTTCTGCCTTATATGTTTTATAGTTATCATAATTAGGTATATTTTCATACCTAACTACTTATCCTATATATTATCAATGGTTTTTGCAAGTATAGCCTTCCTACTGTTAAATGATAAAGATAGGAATTCTACAATGTTTTACTTGTGTCCTCAGGGTTTTACATTTAAAAGGTCCAATTACTAGTAAATTATCTTTTTTCTTTCTTTCTATATTTATAACTTTTATTTCTATTTCACGTCAAACGATGATAGCATCTTCATTTTATTCTTGATGTCTGAAATGTACCTAACACTCTAGAATCTAGAGTCACTGTTTGGTATAAGGTACACTATTGCATTGAAGAGGCCTATTTAGAAGGGTAAAGTAACAGGAATCTTAGCCTTAAGATTATAATTGCTTCATTACTCACAGTGAAGGCAATATAATTTTAGATACCTGAAAATAGACAGTAAGGGTATAAATCTTTAAACTATGACATTAGAAGTGTCTAAGATTAAAATAATACTTGGTTGATGTTAAAGAAACTTAATTTTAATTTTACTATTTGTATATAATTCCAAGATACAGTAAATTAGTTAAAAATTACAGAAAAAGTCAAGGTACCAGCATATCTAATATTTCAAAGTAAAAATTCTACCTTGGGGTAGATGGCAACGTCAATGCAATGTATATAAAGCTTTCTTTTTTTTTTTTTCCCCAATAAGATATGGTACACAGTATATTCATGTTAAAAACAAGTTTTTAGGGACGCCTGGGTGGCTCAGTTGGTTAAGCGACTGCCTTCGGCTCAGGTCATGATCCTGGAGTCCCGGGATCGAGTCCCGCATCGGGCTCCCTGCTCAGCAGGGAGTCTGCTTCTCCCTCTGATCCTCCATCTCATGCTCTCTCTCTGTCTCATTCTCTCTCTCAAATAAATAAATAAAATCTTTAAAAAAAAAACAAAAACAAGTTTTTACAACAAAAACATCAACCTAAGCTTTCAGTTTTTTCTTGGCATGGATAAGAAAGAGGCTATAACAATCCACAAAATCAAACTAAAATGTACCCCATATCAAAGAACAGCATATCAAGGTGACATATGTTTAATAAACAAACAGATGATTTTACAGTGAGAATACAAATTTACATTGCAAAAGACTCCATTTTTTATAAATAGCAGACACAAAACATGTTACTGTACAGTTTTAAGATATAGGTTATAAAATGTATTTCTAAAATGTGAAGTATTTATAAATTAAAAAGCTTTAAATAACTTACTGAAATAGCATGTTTAACTTTTCTTCTTAAATCTCATTTTAAAAATACTAGAAAAATAATACATTTTTAAAAATTATTTCCCTCTATATATAGAATCAAGAGAAGAAATCTATAGAGAAATATACAAAGAACATCTTATAAAAAGATTAAGAAAGCCATACATCTAAGATGAGAATATACTTTTTATATGATAATCTAGGTCTGCCTAAAAACAGAAATTTGCCTGTTTCCTGTTTTAAAAGAAAAAATATTTCTTTAAAAAGCAGCAAATAGTAGATCCTATTTGTTTAATAAATTTTCATGTTTTCATAATATGTAAAGCTTTTATGACTTTAAAATGTAAACGAAGCATTAAAAATCATTTTGTTCAGGCACACAGATATCTTTTAATAGTACTTTATTAATCCCAGGAATTACTGACTTAAGGCAGAATCCTCTCCCAAACTTCATGTGAAGATTAGGTATTCTCATTATATTTATTCATTAGAGTTCTCACTTTAAGTTAATGAAAAAACAAAACTTTTTTTTTCCCAACAAGGACCAAGATGAGTTATTTCTATTTGGATTGGATTAGCAATTCCTTAAGACTACACTGTACATATTCATGGGATATATTTATTGAAATTAATTCATGATTCTCAATATAATATAAATGAATGAATGTCAATTACTTGGCATTGAAATTCAAAAACATAAATAATACTTATGTTTTTCAGGAAGTGTCTTGTTCAATTTTTCAACTTTTCTATGCAAGAGAAAGAAAATGTGTGTATACTTTCAAATGTAATCTAGGAAGTAGTCTTTGTATTAATAATGCCATTATATGTCAAAAACAAAAATTACCCTCTTTCATTGAAGATTTTGAAATGTGTTAAATTGTCAAGCAAAGAGCTGAAATTACAAAAAAACCCACAAAGGGTATATTTAATTTAATTCATATAGTTATCAATATTTAAAAGTAAAACCTAAAGGATCAAATAACTGATGGAAAAAAGTTTAGCTTTTAAGTGATTTTAAAATCTGTTCTAACACACCAGTGTTTGTTATTAACAAATTCTGGAGAAAAGCTTGCAAACTGAATTGGCTGAATTTCCTGTATGTCCAGAAAATATCATATGTTTGTTAACCCAATTAGTAAACTAGAAATCCTACATATTTCTAAAATTAGAGAAGAGAGGGTTTAGAGCAGAGGCTTAATAAATGATTAGGATTGAAAAAAAAACAACCCTAGAGATTCTTGCTTTTCATTTGGAAAGATAGCAACATCATTGGTCTTCATAAAATACACAAGATTTGTTTCTTTTTAATGGCTCTAATCTCAAGTTAATGATGTTTCTGTTTTTTGGGTATTTCAAGATAAAAATAAATAAATGCTCCTTCTTTTTTTAAAGATTTTATTTATTTTTCAACAGAGAGAGAGACAGTGAGAGAGGGAACACAAGCAGGGGTAGTGGGAGAGGGAGAAGCAGGCTTCCCGCGGAGCAGGGAGCCCGATGTGGGACTCGATCCCGGGACCCTGGGATCATGACCTGAGCTGAAGGCAGACGCTTAACGACTGAGCCACCCAGGTGCCCATAAATGCTCCTTCTTATCTCCTGTATCTGCAACAATTTAAAAAAAGAATTATCTTCCTTCTCTAAACTTTGTATTTTTAATGAGTTTGGATTCTATTTCCCAAGGAAGTTGCATGGGGCCATTTTGACTCACTATAATAAACTGCTCTGAGAAAGTCTTGCTTTGGTTGAGAAAGAGAAGCAGTAAGATCTGACATTACCTGAGAAGATATGACATTTTATTCCATTCTTAGGTACTTGCTTTAGTAAAATGTAAGATAGAGGGGCGCCTGGGTGGCTCAGTTGTGGAGCGTCTGCCTTCGGCTCGGGTCATGATCCCAGGATCCTGGGATCAGGCCCCGCATCAGGCTCCCTGCTTGGCGGGAGGCCTGCTTCTCCCTCTCCCACTCCCCCTGCTTGTGTTCCCTCCCTGGCTGTGTCTCTCTTTGTCAAATAAATAAATAAAATCTTAAAAAAAAAAATGTAAGATAGAAGCAAAATATATTAAGAGAAATTAGGATTTTATAAGACTCTCCTTATGTGGATTGGACAAGCTATGTAACCAACATACAGAATTTTGTTTCTATGAAGAGATGGACTCCATGCACCCACCTCCAAACCATTAATAGGATGGAGACTTCTGTAACACACACACACACACATACACACACACACACACCCTAAAACAGAAACAAGCACACCACTAACAAAAAACCCAATTCAAATCCTGAAGTTGTAAATGAACAAAATGATTCTACATAGTATGTTCAGTTGCATTCAACTTCAGTTGAGCTCCTGACAGTAATGAGCACGCTTTTCCTCTATTCTTATTTCTTAGTGTGTGTGCATCCTTCTACTGTCCTTGTTCAAACTCTCTCCTGCCTCCTAGATGGCCAAAATACAACTCAGGGAGTGGGGGTAGGGTGGCAATCTGGCAAGTAAGACTATGTTGCATACTCTTTCCTCTGAAATCAAAGTTCGCTCACTTTATTTCGAAAATAAGGCTCTCCCTTCCTTCCTCACATTTGTGCTCCCACTCTCATTTCCTTCCACCTCTTTCAAGACAGCGCTGTCTCAAATAGTATTTTTCCCTGCAGTCACTTCTCTATTGCCTCCTTTCTTTCTCCTGTCACATACGGAGAGCCCTTTTGTGAAATACTATGAAATAGGCCTGTTAAATGAGGCATATTTAAAAATGTAATTTCTGCACACTGCTAAGAGATGATTCATTAGGCCTGGGAAAACCACTCAAAAATGTTAGACCCACACAATGGGCTACTAGTGATTGTAACTTAAGAATGAATTAGAACAGAATTAAACTTTCTATCACATGTAACTTTTTTGAGATAAGTAGAAAGGTGTTTTCATTTTGTTATAAACACAACTGGTTTATATGAGGAAAAAAATTATTGACTATGAACTCAATAGAGCCAAAGGTATTAATTACAAGTTTTCTGTGCACTGGCAGGTAAATGTGTGAGTTGGCACCTCTGTGATAACCTGAGGTACCTCAGGAATGTGGGGAGTTTCCAAAGCTATTTGAAGAATAAGAACATCCATTAACAAGAATAATATTCAAAGTGAACTCTTAATTGATTCACGTGGGAATAAAAAGTTCCCAAGATTCAGTGAAAATTCAGAACTGACAAATCCTAGATGCAAAGAGGATCACTAACAGCATAAAAGATAAGCTTAAAAAAAGAGAAAATGGGAAATAAAATGACTGGTCTGGCATTCCTCTCCTTAAAGTCTACCTATGGGAAATGACCATCTCTAGTTTAACCATCTGGAAACTCTAAACTGTGTGATGAAAAAATAATCCCAGAATGTTTTGTTGAATTATAAAGTCTAATAAACCGTTTAAACCACTAGCTTGTATCCATTTATGATTCTTCCTGAAATATTTAAGATCTTAGTCCTTATAAGTTCCTATTTGCTTTATTGACCCTTTCTTTACCCCCTGGGAAAAACCAACCAAAGCAAATACCCTTTACTTGACCCCAAATCTATGCTTTAGAGTTCACTCAAGCAGTCATCTTTCTTTTCCTTTCCATTCACTGTCACATTTACTGAAGTTTTGACATATACTAAGACTTCTAGCATTTCTTTATTAGTAATTCACTCTTTAACCCACTTAGACACAGCTTCTATTCTAATTATTCTGTTGAAATGACACCAAAAGGTTAATTGCCTGACTGTTTAATGCAACTCATACTATAATATTCACCTAGCCGTCTTTGCACAAGCCAATGTTCACAGCCAAATCTTTGAAACTTTCTCCTTTCCACTGTGAAGCCATGATATTCTTAGTTTTCTTCTAACTCTGGCCCATTTCATCTTTTTGGCTCTTCTTCTTCTTTCCAAAATGCAAAAAATTCCCTAAGATTTCATACTTAGCCCTTGATTTTTACCTGCATCAAGGATCTGTTGTATTCTTATGTTTGACTCATCAGTTTTGCTGATTTCTATCTCCAATCCTGATGTCTCAGCCTTAGACCCACATTTCAGATTATCTGCTGGACATTTCCATTCAAATGTCACCTCAAAATTCACTTTGGAATTAAATTCCTTGTCACCATTCCAGAAAATCAGCTTTTCTTCTTGGAAGTCCTATTTCTGTTGGCAGCACCATCTCTTCTAATACTACAGGTGTAGAGACTAATGAGTTTCCGTTTTTCTCCACCAATCTCCCTTACAAATCAGTCAGTGCATTTGGCTTATCCTTCCCTCAAAATGTCCCCTGTACCTGTTCATTTTTCTCCATTCCTAGAGCTATCACTCTGGTATACGTATCATAACTTTATCTGGAAATTCCTGACAAGAAGCTGCCCATGTCTGCAGGCACAGACTCCTCAAACAGGTACTGAAGACTCTCCTCAATCTGGACTTATTCCTGGGGGGGATGGAAATGCAATGACCAGACTAGATTCTTCATTGATCCCACCACCTTTGCTCACCTGAGTTCTTTCCTACAGATTTTAAGAAAGAGTCCCCCAAAACTGCTAGTTTATTCAAATACCACCAAACTTTCCAGGGGCAATTTAACTCCCATGTATATCACTATGCTTTCCCAGAAAATTCTAGGCTAGAGTGTAAGCTCTTTTATTTATTTATTTTTAAAGATTTTATTTATTTATTTGAGAGACAGAGAATGAGAGAGAGGGGGGAGGGTCAGAAGGAGAAACAGACTCCCTGCCCAGCAGGGAGCCCGATGCGGGACTCGATCCAGGGACTCCAGGATCATGACCTGAGCAGAAGGCAGTCGCTTAACCAACTGAGCCACCCAGGCACCCCTCTTTCTTTTATTTAAAGCACCTGTATTAAGTCTACTGTACACATCTATGATACCTGCTGTTTTACTATTTAACTTTTTCATGCATATATAGACATTAAATGATTATTGACTAAAGAACTACTACACTGACTTAGAAATTCTTGAATTTCTAAAGGTATTGTTTTGCATATTTTGGTGAGCAACAGGAGAATAAAACTTATCATGGGCATAATTCTTAAAAAACAAACCAGGTCTGGTCTACAGAATATTATTTAGGATTATTTTCTAGCAACCTTACTAGTACTTACAAATAATCCCACATACCAAATGAACAGTGTTCTTTTTAAGGTACAACTGACTATTATTTTGATTCCCATTCCGTATGTTCATCAAGCAGTTTCAGATTGTATCGGGGAAAAGAGTTAGAATACACTTTCCAGTACCTAGTATGTGACTTCTTCCTTATTTGTGATACGCGATTTGCGATAATGGCTTTCCACTGTGGGAAGAGGTGGTGCCTGACATGTGCTTTCAGAAACAGATAAATCATTTTTATTGTCTATTTTCTTATGTGTTATAGTGTCATCTTTAGTGAAATCCATCTTATTTAAATGCTAATGGTGGCGGTACACTCACCATATTCCTCACAATACATCACATTCAATGTATGAAGCTTTTCAAGATGACCTTAGGAAAGGATTTACCATCTTTAGGTCACTAGCTGTCATCACTGTCTAAAAGCTGCAGGTATCACAGATGAGAGTTCCAAATGGAACTTGATGAAATGTAATTATCACAAAAGAAGATTTTAAAAATCCTGTTAGGTAGGGCGCCTGGGTGGCTCAGTTGGTTAAGCGACTGCCTTCGGCTCAGGTCATGATCCTGGAGTCCCTGGATCGAGTCCCACATCGAGTCCCACATCGGGCTCCCTGCTCAGCAGGGAGCCTGCTTCTGCCTCTGACCCTCCCCCCTCTCATGTGCCCTCTCTCTCTCATTCTCTCTGTCTCAAATAAATAAATAAAATCTTTAAAAAAAAAAAAAAAATCCTGTTAGGTATTTAACTATAGGAGTTATAGCTTAAAGAAAGCTTAGATACAGGGTCAATATATTTACCAGATAAGAAATTTTCAAGGGTAGTTTTCCAAGTTTCTCCTGAATTTTCTAAAACTTGTCCTAGAATCCAGGAGCTTGAAAGTTCAAGAAAAGAATCTACCCTTTCTGTTCCTCTTTGTGTTTTAGGCTGCACACTCTCTTTCCTGGGATAGTGGAGGCAAAGATCCACTTGGGGAGGAAATCCTAAGAATAAAGGGATTTTTTTCTCTTCTTGGTCAAGAATATAGTTACATTCACCTGAACTCAATAAGGGAATAATGGAATTTTACTGCATAGTAGGTACACATTTTAGGAAATATAATCCTGGAGAGTACATGGAAAACAGAGAAGAACAGGATGCATTAAAAAGGAAAGAAAGAAAAGGGGAGCCTGGCTGGCTCAGTCAGTGGAGCATGTGACTCTTGAGCTCAGGGTTGTGAGTTTAAGCCCCATATTGGACACAGAGATTACTTAAAAAAAAAAAAAGAAGAAGAAGAAGAGATATCCTAATAATATCTGGTGATACATGTTTGATAGAACAGTTTAAAAAGAACTGTTACATTAAAGATGGTATTAACATAAAAGACTCGTTTTTCTCACCTTTTTGGACCTCCAACAACGGCAGTACACAGCTTTATCTCCCAAATCCTCCATGTCATAAGCATGTACTATCTTGGGGTTGTCTTTCTGGATGTGAAGGTTTACCATAGATTTGTTGCGATGATCTTTAACATAAAATCTTTTGTAAGCTAGATAACCAACTGCAGCTGTCCCAGCAGCAATAGTAACTGCTGCGATCCATTCAACTAGAGCAGGGAAGGAAAACAGGAATAATCATCAAAACCAAAATATACACTAATAATGTGTATTTTTACTAACATTAATGTTCAGGAAATCCAGTTTTTGAGTTAAGCATTCGAATAGTCAAAAGTTTTTACTGTTAACAAAATAATTACAACACAATGGTGTAACAGTTCTTGTTAAGACTTTCCCCAGCGTTTACTGAGGCGATTGCATATTTTCTACTGAATGATGATAGCTAAATTGAGACAGAGGAAAACTTAAAAATTATTTTATACATGGAGAAGGAAAAACAATGTTTAATAATTCTTAAAGTGTTCATAAATAGATTTAAAAGAACATGTAAGCCTGCTGATACCTATTGTTTAAAAAAAATCCGATACATAAAAAAATTCAGATTATAAAGACTACCCCCCACCCAAAAAATCAGGAGGTGATTATGTAAACAAACTGACTCATCAGAGTTCATTTAAATAGTAGGTCCTTTAGTGATTTTAAAGTGCATAACCACAAAGAGAATTGGTATCCGAAGAAAAAAACAAAAAAAGGACAAATAAAACAGTTTAGTACCCTTAATACTAAACACTCAAAGAAATATATCCAGCAGGATTCTGGGCTTCAAAGTCATCCAAAAGTTTTTGTTTTTGTTTTTTAAATTTCAAAGTGCTTTCTCATTAGAATAAAAATCAGAATGTATTAATTTCTTATTTCATAGAAAACATGAATATAATTACAGTTATAGTCTCAATAAATTCTAAATTTCCATTATCCACCAGTGGATGATGATTTGAATTCCCTACAAACTTCATTTTAAATTTAATGACATTTTTCTACTCAATTATTTGCTTGACTAACAGACCATCTATTTATTCTTTTCATGTAGCTTTTCAAGGAGTCCTTAGAAACCCAAGCACTTAACTACCCCAGTTCCACAGAATGTTGGAGAGAAGAAAGTTCTGCATAGTCTGGTTAGCCTCAGCCTCAGAGGTGAGTTGTCTATTCCCAGCATGGAGTGAACTGCAGGAAGAAGTTGAACAGGGGTCAGGATAAACACACTGGACTGCTTCCCAGCACTTCCTCAGTCAGATCTTCACATTTTTTTGAAATAAGTTCCCAGACTATCAAATAAAGCCCTAGAGAGATAAGTACAAAAAATACAATCCAAGGACAAATAAAAACATATATTGAATAATTAACTGTATGGCTTATTTGCACTATTGACTCAAATTTCTTTTTTTTTTTTAGATTTTATTTATTTATTTGAGAGAGAGAATGAGAGAGAGAGAGCACGAGAGGGGCGAGGGTCGGAGGGAGAAGCAGACTCCCTGCTGAGCAGGGAGCCCGATGCGGGACTCGATCCTGGGACTCCAGGATCATGATCTGAGCCGAAGGCAGTCGCTTAACCAACTGAGCCACCCAGGCGCCCCTTGAGCCAAATTTCTTATTGCACTAATGTGATTAATCACCCTTCCTAATAGTGCCCTACATTACATTGGAGGTCATTCTTACAAAACTATAATGGGAAGGAACAATCATTCTCACACTTAGTTCCTTTTATCTTGGGTCTTCTCTTTTAACTCATTCCTTGGATTCTATTTTCAACCACAGTATTTTTCTCTACAAAACAGTTTCCTTCCCACATTTCCATTCCTCCTTGCTAAAATCCTCTAAAATAAACATTAACATTATGTCCTTCCCAGGTGCTGCATGACTGAGACAAGTTAATAAGTTATTTGACAGCTTCAAACCTTTGGACTCATTGAAGAATGTTTTTAACTTCACATTTTGTGTAGATTTGTCTTGAATTTTAGTGCAGCTTCATGATATTATCCTGTAGCAATTCCAAGTAGGGCTGAAACTTTGCTCTGATTTCTAGCTGGGTTCATGATATTCCTTTTTGATGTATTATTTACCATGGAACTCCCTTGAGAAAGGACTCTCTGTGTCAGGAGCTATAGCAATCCGCTTCTAAGCTAATGGAAAGCCACTCTGAATAGCTAATGTACCTATCACAAAATGGGCTAAAATATTGCTTTGCATAGTATATGTTCAATTATGTTTGCTAAATATTACCTTTAGTATAAACTTAAAATGATGAAATATCCCAAAAGAATAAATTAACACAGTAGAAACTGTTAATCTTAGTTACATCCTACTTTTTAGGTGAATTATGAAGTAATCTCTAGCAGATTTAATAGTGCCTACTTATATCAAAAAGGCCCGAAACCCAAATAACTACTAAAATTGGTTAAGATTAATTTGTCTCACAACATAAAAAGGGAATCCTACCTGAAACTCATGATAGGCCAAAAGAATCTTTCTTAGTCATCAAAACAGTCTTCTATTCTCTTTTCTCATATTAGCCACTGAATCCATATGGTGACTTTTTTTTTTTTTTAAACCTTTACCTCCCTGGAATTTTTGACAGTGGAATAAATGACAGAATAACTGACACACAAAGGCAAAAGCAAATGAAAGAAATGGGAACTGACTCTGGATACTACTGAAAAGTAGCTGCCCCATGGGGAATCAAAACATGCACTGCTACCCTACCCCCTAACAAAGGTCACTTATGACCCTATATAAATGTCATAGGACCATGTGTGTGCTGGGAAAATGGCTTCGCATGTGCTCCAATGGGTTTTTTAGAATCACAGAGCTAGACAAATTCTTTAGAATTTCCACTTTCCCCTCTTCCCAAAACCTAATTCCCTAATCTTATTAGACACAAATGTAAAAGTTCCCAGAATAAGAAATATGTTGCTGTTTTATCATTTCATTATTGCAGCCTGAATCAGTTTTTTTCTGGCAAAAAGCTGTGGATGCCACTGGCAACTCTAGGGAAAAGAAGGAAAAGGAAACTGTGTCGAGATAGGCAAGAATGATGATGGATTGAAAGTCAACAATTAGAATAGAGAAAGAATTGAAAACCCAAGACAAACAAAAACAATAAAACCTAAGTAACTATTTAGTTCTTGACAGTGGATATATTCTATTAAGAATAAACACAGTCTCAGAGGCAAAAAGAGACTTTACCAAAACCCATTTTTAAAGACATTTCAGTTGGCACCTTTCAGATACTCTTTCATAACTGGGGTCCAGAAAAACCCTGAGCACTACTTCTGACTCTTATGGTTTTATCCTCACTTCCCTTCTCTATAGACATTTCTCAAGGCACAGTAGTATTCTTACAGTTAGATGAAATCCCACCCTGCCCAATCTTGCTTAACAGTGCTTTCTATCTATACAAATACAATGAATAAACCAATATAAAGAAAATACAGAAAATACATTTCTAAATAATCCTTCCCATTCTTACTCTTCCCTTGGTCTACTATTGTATAATATTGGTTTGTATAACATAATACTGGTTTTCTCTCAGAATTATTCAGAGATTGAAAACAATCTGTTGTTTATAACCCATTCCTCAGCTTTTCTCTACTGTGGGAATTATTTTGTTTCAACTTAGACAGAAATCTCACCGTTTCTGTTCCTTTAGTCCCTTTTCTGCCTAAAACGGTCCTCTCCTGCCCAGTGTCAACTGCCACAGAATCAGAATGTTCTTTTCTTCTCAGGAGAGGGGGAGGGGAGCTATGTTTAAATCTTTCCCTCCCTTAGGTCGTTCCCCCAGATTGGCAGGCTGTGTCTCGTAATGTTTTTTTCTTAAGGCCTGGCATACAGGGGCGCCTGGGTGGCTCAGTCATTAAGCGTCTGTCTTTGGCTCAGGTCATGATCCCAGGGCCCTGGGATCGAGCCCACAGCAGGCTCCCTGCTCTGCGGGAAGCCTGCTTCTCCCTCTCCCACTCCCCCTGCTTGTGTTCCCTCTCTTGCTCTCTCTCTGTCAAATAAATAAATAAAATCTTAAAAAAAAAAAAAAAAAAAAGGCCTGGCATACAGGTAGTGTTCAATGTTAGCTGAGTATAAAGAAATAACAGATTACTAATTTGAATTTGCAACTCCATCTGTCCATTTTACCATCACATTGCTCTTATACCAAATGACTTATCTTTGGCCTCATCTTAATCTACTGTATCAAGTGTGGGACTTAAAACATTTCTTCAGATTCAAAAAAAATTTTTAGGAATGCCTGGGTCACCCAGTGAGTTAAGTATCTGCCTTCGGCTCAGGTCCTGGGATGGAGCCCTGCATCAGGTTCCTTGCTCAGCGGGGAGCCTGCTTCTCCCTCTGCCTGCCGCTCCCCCTGCTTGTGTGCTCGCGCTCTCTGACAACTAAATAAATAAAATCTTAAAAAAAAAATAAAACTTTAGTATGGAACACTTCAGACATATACAGGGATTACTATAATGAACTCCCATTCACCCTCACTCAGCTCCAACAAGGATCAACTCACTGCCAATCCTGTTTCATCTATAATCCCTAATGCCCCCCAATATTTACTTATTGTTTATAATCTAAAGAGCAGATTCAATGAGTTTTGGAGGTATCAAGGAGCAAGACATATAGTAAACTTCCTGAAAGTCATATACTGGGTATGAGGAGGAGTCACTAAAGATGGGGGACTCCATAGTAGTGAAAGATGCTTAATGTTAGAAATTATAATAAACTAGAATTAAATAAAAATAAGTTCGGCATAAGTATGTTGATTATACCTCAATAAGGGGAAAAAAAAAGGTTGGTATCACCCACCCAAAGGGTATCAAGAACCATCTCACTGAATAGGGTCTCTGGATTCCAATCATTTATCCTTATTGCCTCTCCCAGATTCATGTCCTGGCCTGATCCCCATTAATTTTATTTATAACCCACAACCCATTATTTTTTTTCTGAATATAAACAAGAATTTTGCATGTATAGACATACCCTTTTATTTTTTATTTAACATATACTTACAAAGTGCATACTATTTTAAGCCCTTTATAATTATTAATCTTAGTTGAGAAGAGACATCTCAATTCATCTTCCCCAAATTCAAAAATCAAAAATATAGATTTTTTAGCGTGGTTTAAAAATTGAGAACAATTTGAGGTCTAAACATTACAAGGTGGATTCTCAATACATTATCTGTCCCTTCCCAGCCACACTACAATGTTTGAAGAAGAAAGTAAGAAGGTGCTGGATGAAGAGATTTACAAGGGTTTTGGATCTTTTCCCATAGTCCTCATAACAACCTTTACACTTTTAGGTGAAATAAAAAGTAGTTACATCTCATAACAAAGTTGAGTACTTCAAGTTTAAGCTGATAACCCTCTTCACCAAACAATTTCCTATCCCTTAGAAAACAGCAAGCTAATGGGGACGTCACCTTTGGACTCCCCTATGGTTAGATTAAAACAAAAACAAAAACACACACACAAACTTATCTTGATTGCAAGAAAGATTAGCCAGCAGGTAATGCTAAGAAGTCCCAGGGTTCACCTACTTCACATTTCAATGGGCACTAAACCCTAGGTTCAAAACACACAAAATGACTCCACATTTTAAAAACACGTGTTGGAATCTTTCAGCCCATATCACAAAAGTGCAAACTGTCTTTCTATAAAATTATCAGTGGCTCAAGTCATATGAGTATCTGATTTTACACAACAGTCTTATTCCTGAGAAAATACAGGTTTGGGTTTTTTAAAAAACTGAAACAAAAATCGCTCTGTATTTTAAGTGCCCCAAGGTACCTCTATTTAAAGCACTCTCAAGATGAGCATCCTTTGAAATAAGTTTTATAAATAATCACCTCCTATATACTTCATTAGTAACTAAAAAAGTCATGGGTTATCCCCCCGCCCAACTCTGCCAGGTAACTTTTGGCAACAGACGTGGAATTCTCCAATTTAAAGAATGGATTACAAAATTAGGTCTCATGTTAACAGGGAGCTTTTACAGAACCTGGCACTCTAGTTGCTCAGTATTTACTAAATTAATCAATAGGGCTCTTTTTAATTAACTTCTGGACAATCTCTTTACTTTTACTTAACTACTGTTACAGGTAACCAAACCAGGAGGTGTGGCGTTTTATACCTGGGCAGAGAGATCGCATGTGTCACGTAGCTGATGCACAGTATTATATTAACAGTTACACCACCACCAAGAACTGTTATAATGTGAAGCTCTACATTAATCGAATTCTAGAAAATCTCTTAATTTTAATTGGACCTGTTTCCAAACGCCAGACTAGCGCAAAGGAAGCAAGGCTGAGAAAGCGGAGAGCTCAAAGAGCTCCGTTTTCTATCCTCTCTCCTGGACCACTGCCACGGAGTTCCAGATGCCAGAGGGATTAAAAACAAAACAAAACAAAACAAAAAAACCCTGGGAAAACTGAAGATCTCGGATTGGGTTCGTTCCTTTAAAAAAATGTGCAAAACTGAGATGTGATTAGTCACGCACTGCTTCAGAGTTGCAGGAAATTGATGGTCTGTCTCCACGGTGATTTAAACTTGAAAAGGCGGAGCAGTTCTTTTTTTTTTAAAAAACCTTTCCTCTTTTCCAAGCTGTGTGACAACACAGAGGTGCCTCAGGGGAGAACAAGAAAAAAAGCTAGCGACGGAATCATTAGGTTTTAGGTCATGGCTGGTTAAGGAAAACGTGATCCAGACTTGGGTGAATGCCTCCATAGCCCCCATGCCACTTATGCCTGGAGAGATCACCAATCCATACGGACATCGCCCCCCTTCCCCGTTTGGCCCAGGGAGTCCGCAGGCCAGCCCTGCGCTTGCCCTTCTACATCTCAAGGTTACAGGACTGGCGGGTTCGCAGGGCAGCGGTAACTAACAGCCCAGAGAGGAGCAGAGGAAGCTGCAACCGGTGCGCAGGCCTCCAACCTCACCCGCTCCCAGGCCCCACTTCACCTCGTACGCTGGAAGTCAGACTCATGGCGCCGTCGCTTGCAAGGCGTGTGCACAGGACACTAAGCACAAAGAGGCTCTTGCGGAGGGCCGGAGTCAAGGTGCGAGAAACGTCTACGCGTACCGACTCCAGGCCGCTACGGCGCAGGCGCCGCGGCTGGCCGTAAGCACGTGTGTATTGCCACCCTAGTTAATGCTGAGCATGCGCGGAGCTGCGTCCCAGTCTAAAGTCTTGAGTCGGGATTTTGACAGCCGGAAAAGCGGGGAGGAGGAAGAGACCTAGAAAGGTAGCAACTGAGTGTGCGCAGTCGTAAGGGGCGGAGTCCTGGAGCCTGGGGCAGGGCTTTGAGAATAGAGATTCCAGGCCAGATTTAAGTCTTTTCCAGGTGTGCGGGCTTCACAGGGCAAAGGACAGGTGCTGGTATAACACTTGACATAATCAGGTATCTAAGATTTTATCTACAGTTTTCTTGTTCAGTTCGGCACCTGCAAGGCCACGTCCAGTTTTCATATAAAATGCCAGTGGCAGACACACAGGTATCAATTGTGGAGTCCTATTTCAGAACCTCACCTCGCCCTCGGTGTACGTCACTTTCTTCTGCTTTTGAGCCAGTTATCTACTGAGGACCCTGGAACCTGCGCTAAGGGCTGAGTAGGAGAGAGAAACAAACGGCTCAAAATGTACTCAAAAAAGATACTAAGATTATTCTCTATCTTCTACAGTCTGAAATTAGTGTCAGTTACAAAATATTTTATAAAAGCGGTTTAGGGGCCCGAATTTGGGGAGGGGAGTTAGAATTAACTCAAAGGGTGTTTTGGAAGGTGTATTTTCTAAGAAGCTTCTTATTTTTACTCTTAGTGTTTCTATGCGGGGTGGGAGTTGGAGGGAGTTGATTGCAGGGTAGCCTCCCAAGCCATGCTACGGCCTCCCAACGCTCAACACGTGACTGATTGCTCCTCACAACTGGAAGCCCCTGGAGTCTCTGAGCCGCACCCCAGGAAGAGCTGAAACGCCCTCTGAATGAATGAAGCTACAACAGCCCTGCTGGCATTGTAAAGCCAGCTCAGGGCTGGGGTGAGAAAGGCCGCGAGTGCGCTTGCCCCATCCGCTAGCCCTCAGCTCCCGCTGGCTGCGCCAAGCTCCCGCCCCGCTGCAGGGGGTCCCGTCGGGCAGCCTCTGGGCATGCTCAGTAGCGCGGCGGCTGTGGGTCGCGCAGTCGGAAGCTCGCGGCTGCTGCGGCGGTGCAGGCGGCGCTAACGCGCCCGGCAGCTGAGGGGACTGGAGGACGGCGGGAGGGGGCGGGGGCGCAGGAGGTGGGGCCGCCGTCGCCGTCAGGGCCCCTGGGAGCGCGGGGCGCCGCCGCCGCCGCTCCTCGGCTCGGTTCCGTCTCCAGGGCTGCGCCGGCAACGGTAGCCGCCTCGGCAGAGCAGCGGGAGTCGGGAGCCGCGCTCCGCCGAGAGTTGGGTAGGGGAGCGCCCGCGCCTCCGCGGCGTCATGGGCCCCCTTCCCGGGCCTCAACGGGCACCAGCCGCGGGAACCCCCGGGCCTCCTTGCGGCCGAGCCTGAGCGACCCTCGGGTTCTCCGGCTCCCCCTCCCTCCGCCTTATTTTTTTCCTGCTCTCGCTGCGGCTACAGCTTCAGCTTCAGCTCTCCGTTATGGCAACGGAGCCGCCATCCCCCCTCCGACTCGAGGCGCCCGGGCCCCCAGAAATGCGGACCCCACCGGTGAGCGAAGCCCCCCCCGAGGGCACCCCGAAGCCGGCAGGCGGCAGGCTCTGCTTCCTCAACGGCTGCGTGCCCCTCTCGCATCAGGTGGCCGGGCACATGTACGGGAAGGACAAAGTGGGTAAGTGGGGGTGGCGTGGGGCTAGCGGCTCCCCTTCCGCCTCTGGGAGCCCCCGGCCGGCCGAGGCAGCTTGGCGCTCACGGGCTGGGCTGGGCTGGGCTGGACTCCCCTCCGGTCTGCGCACAGCACCCCAGGCCTCTTCCGCTGTCCCCCAGAGCCTCGCGACCCATGCAGCAGAGGCTCGAAAGGGGGGAGATTTCTAGGGTGGGGGGCGTCAGGCCAGCAGCAGGAGGTGGCGGGGAGAGGAGTGCCTGGTCTCCCCAGGAGAGTGGTTGTTGATTGCAGACTGCGTTGTTAGTGAAAAATAGGAACTTACTGGACGGGGAAGTAAATTCTCCCTTGAGCACAAGGTCTGTTTATTATAGGCGGGTAGCTATTGCACAAGGAAAGGAATGAAATGCAGATGATGCTAATCTAGTGCTTCTCTTCTGTGTGCAGCTGCATAGCTGGAGGGGAAGAAAAGACATAGGGCTTATTTCACTTATTTATTTATTGGGAACGCTGGTCTTGGCTTATCCAGGATCTTTCTCCCTATTCCCTTGAGAGGTTTTTCTGGTATCTCCTGGGTTTTTCAGGAGGCGTGGTTCCGGTAGTGCAGAAACTCGAATTCATGGTAGGAAATATACCCTGCTGTTATACTAGGAAGGTACACGGTTAAGACATTCAGTTATTCTTGATTATCTTTTTAAGACTGTGTCATGGCCTGTGTAACACACTTTGGGAGCCTACCACGTTCAAAGCACAATACAGGACCTATCGCAGTTGATTCTCTTGGTGATGTAAAAGTTGAGTTTAGGAACCGTAATTCACCTAGCTTACTCACACTGGTTCTCCGGGCCATGATTTTTACTTGGGGAATCTGATGTACGAGTATGTGAGTAGTACAGATCTTAGACTTGGAACCACTAGATACAGTTTGGCTTATGCTAGTAAAATGATTCGGGCTTAGGGTAGTAAGATAATACTGGTATTTTTAGAAGAGTAACTGAGGCCAAGCCTGGTTAAAGTGACAAGCCTGAGCTCCCACCGCTACTGTGTTAGAATCAGGAAACCAAGGGTCCTGCCTCAGACCACTGTATTTTTCCACCGTGTATTGTTCTTGCAGATAACTCATCGAACAAGGATTTTTCAAAATGGTTGAGTATTTGTTTGAATCTGTGTGTGTATGTTATTTCTCAAAGAGCAACATTTCTCACTGCTTTTATCTTTACCTACCTTTCTTTTCTCATGGTGAAAGTTAGGTGTTAATGATGATGTCATGAAGACTGTGTGCCTTTGTCCCTACCGAATTGTGAATTCCTTTAAGTTAGAGACCAAATCTGTTTATCCTCATAGCCTTGTACAGGGGGTGGGGCTTAGTTAAATTGGGAAATGTTGAAAGAGTGAAAATTGACAGTTCTTTTAGTACGCACAGGCAAGGAAACAAATATAGTTCTCAAGGTGCTTAGCCTAGATGTAAGGAACCAACGTTCTTAAGATGCTTAGCATAGACACATTCTTGTGTGTGTCTCTTCTGGTAATGAAAGTTGGAGAGAGTAGTGGACTTACTGTTAGTAGATTTATATTGCATACCTATTGATTTATTTTAATGAATTGTAATGATAATATTCCTAATAATATTTTAGAAGCTTAAATAAAAGTTTCCCTAAGGGTCCCTAGAGATCAACTCATAAACAAAAAATCCCAGCATAAACACAGTCTCAATGGTGATTGTCATTTGTTACATTTGAGAGTGTAACCACTGCTTATCAAAGTATGTAATAGTGAGCCTATTCACAAATGTACTCTAATGTGACTATACCACATTGCAACAGTGGCTGAAAGTGTTAATTTCTCACCCAAATTACCTAATTGAAGGAGTAGTTGAGATTCTAAACAAAGTCCTTAATTTTATTTATTATTGCATTCAATTTAAAATAAGCTTTTTAAAAAAATTTTGTAAAATACTCTTGACTAGGGATTGTCTTTGTATCACTACTGCACAATTCCTCAAACATATTGTGCTAGCAACCTAATACATATTTTGTTGAATTTAATTCATAGTTATTTACACAACCTAGCATATATTGTTAATGAAAGGACACCTGAATGATGATAATCTTACCTATTCATGAAATGGATAACAAGATGGTCAGTAATTCAAAGTTCAGAAATTTATTATGTCTATCATAAATCACTTACAGTTGTAAAGTACATTATGTAGAATATACTTTGGTTTGGCTGTCAACTGAAATTCTCAGAATAAATTTTCTTGGAGACATTGTGTGGTTATTTGTTTTGCTTTTTAAAATTTTTCTTACTGTCATTAAGTAAGAATTTTTCAATTTCGGATTGATATCTATCATACCTGTTTCCAAAAAGGAGTTGTTGGCTTTGTTAAATTAAAAATTAAAAACATGGAACCAATTGCACAAAGGTGCTTGAACATAAAAATAGATCTTGTTATAGTTGAGTAATAAGAATATTCTGCTATGAGTGTTATATTTTGTTTTCTTCACTGAAATATGATTTCAGTTTTAGTTCTAAGAATACAAAGTTTGGTTTTTTTTTTTAAATTGTAAAAGTAGTACATAATCTTTTAGGAAAAAAATTCAAACAGTATAATAGTACCCATCCACCTACTCTCCCTCTCCCAAAGATAGTCACTGGTAACTATTCCTGGTGCATCCTCTCAGGTTTTTGTTTCTGGGCACATATAACAGAACTCTAATTTTTTGTACAAATAGGTATATCAGCAACTTTTTGTTTTCAATCTATATTATGTAGTATATCCATATTTTTGTATTCACAATACACTTCATTTTTTAAAAAACTGTTGTATTCCATAGTGTGAATCTGTCACAATTTAACTGTTCCTCTAGTGGTAGATTTTTATATTTTCACTATTTTTTTGCTATTATAAATAATGTATTAAACATTTTTTTACATTATAGTATACCTTACACATTGTGCAACATTTTCTATAGGGAGGTTTCACAAAAGTGTGGTTGCTGTCAATTTAAATTCCCAAAGCTCACCAAAGTTAGCATGAAATCCTTTTTTTGTTTTATTATTTAACATGTACCATTAATTTCTTTCAAGATTCCTTAAGTTTCAAACAAATAGTTGGAATCTGGTGTGTGTTTCCTGATCTAACTAAGGATATAGAAATGAGGTAGTCTGGGTAAAAGAAGGATATAAACTGGTGTTGTCTATTTTGGCTGTGGTCTATTTTATTAAATATGTTCTGAAACTAATTGAGTTAAAATAATTTCAGACTTACAGAAAAGTTGCAAGGGCAATACAGAGAACTTAACATTTTGTGGAATTTCTTTCTCTATGCATATTATTTATTTGGGGGGAACTATTTGAGGATAGGTTGCATATATCTTGTCCCTTTACACAGTAATACGTCAGTGTGTATTTCTGTAACCATGGCACATTTATCAAATATAGGAAATTTAACAGTGATACAATGCTTTTATCTAATCTATAATCCATATTCTAATTTTGTCAGCTATTCCGATAATGGCTTTTGTCATATTTGTTTTTCTCAGTCCAGGATTTAGTTCAGGATCATTTATTGCATTTAGTTGTCATGTCTCTTAGAATCCTTTAATTTGTAACAGCTCCTCAGCCTTTATCTTCTATGACATTGTCATTTTTTAAGAGTACAGGCTAGTTATTTTATGAAATATTCTTTAATTTGGATTTCTGATGGGTTGTTATGGTAAGATTCGGGTGATGCATTTCTGACTGGATTATTATACAAGTGTGTTCTCCTCAAGGTATCACATCTGGAGGCCTACAGTGTCCTTCTGCCCATTATTAGTGATAATTAATTTTGATCATCTGGTCCAGTTGTGGCCTGGCTTCTCCAGTATGTAGTTAATATTTTTCACTTTGCAACTAATAAGCTGTTTGTGGAGAGACACTCTGAGATCATGGATATATCCAGATCCTCATCACACTTTACCCCTAGATTTGGCATCTATTGATAATTTTTGCCTGAAGCAGTCTTTACTCTGAAAGTTGAAAAATTGTGATTTTTCTCCCCAGTTCTATCACTACCTCTATTTAACAGTCAGCATTCTAAGAAATAGCCCTCCCTTTACTCCTATATATTTCCTTTTTTATTTATAGTTTGGACCCATGGATTCTTATTTTATAAAGTGTTATGACCCATTATAGAACATATTTATTTTGGTGTTCAAATTGTCCCAGATTTGGTGAGTGGGAGCACTTCCTTCCTTTCTGTCACAAGTTATTTTAGACTTATGCTTTCCTTTCCCAATTCTAGAACCAGCAATTGCTCCCAGAAGCCCTGGTTCATTTTCAGTGGAAAATGGTATTTTGAAACCAAGATCTGGGTGCTAGATGTGCTTATTACCATTGGAGTGTTATTGCTTCCTGGCCTTTTCAAAGAACATAACTGAGAAGAATGTATAAATATTTAGAAATCATAATTTCATACTGATATTTCCGATTTCATTCCAGCACCACAGAGTTCTTCCTTTCCTTTCCTTTCCTGATTCTAAATTTGTATTTCCCGTCTACCTCAGTGAGAACCCTGGCTCCCAACATTGTTAATGTTTTTTGTGTGTGTGGGTTTTTGGTTTGCTTGTTTGTTTTGCTTGTTCCTGTAATTTTCAGAATTTCTATACCCGTGCTACTGCAGAAAACAAACCTAGAATAAAGAATTCAAGAGAGATTCCCTTATACTAAGGGTATGTGGTTGGGAACTCTTCAAAAGCTATTGGATTACGGTTTTTTGGATTTTGGTTGGTTTGGTTTGGTTTGGTTATTTTTACCCCCTCTTCTCTAAGGTAATATTATTTATTTGAAAAGCAGTTGGATTCACTTGTGTTTAAGTTCAGTTCCCTCCCTTCATTTTTATTTAATTATATATTTTTGAATGCTTATAAAATTAACATGCTTCCAAAACTCAAAACTTTACAGAGAGGTGTATCGAAGTGTCATGCCATTCTCTGTCACTTCACCCATTTCTCAACATCCCCTGT